CCTGCTGCAATGCTTTGCTTGCACATGCTCATGTCTCACGAGGTGCAGAGCCGACGTGTCTTCCTTTGAGGCCGGTGAAGAACTTCTCAATGCCTGGCGCTCAGCTTTTTACGTTGCGTAAAGTTACTTCCTGCTAATCTTCCTATTCTGACATAATTAGATTACATCCACATTAGAAGCTGTTATAAACATCTAGTGTGCCAAGGTCCAGTGTCACAGACAGTACTTCGCTTCGGGCCTGAATCAGTTCCCTAATATAGAGTTAGATCCCGCTTTGTCGAAGCCACTGGGAGAATGCCCGGGGCTTCGGGGGGACGAGGATCACAGCCTTTAGAGGGAGCGCCTGGCTTACGAGGGTCAGGTGCCGCGAAGTCAATTCTTTGTGTCAGGAAAGTTGTAATTTCCTTTTAAAGCTCAGTGACTCATTGAATCATGGCTGTGAACAATCCCACAGGATTTCCTTAGATTTGTGATACCTGCTTGGAATGACGCCCCTGGAAAAATTCTTCGTTCAGGGACCTGATCCATCTCATTTTCAAGTCAGTGACTGAACTTGTGTTTACTGCTGTAATGCAGATCCATACGGTTGCATAATCATGGGGGCCTGATCCTGCATCAGCCTTCAATAAACCAGTAGAAAGGGCTACCAGAAAAGGATCCGTTGGAATGTGGAATCTGTAGTCATAAAGAATTCATAAAGCTTGATGACCTCATTTCACAGCAAAAGGAGAGGCTAGAGGAGCCCTTTGTTTCTCCGTAGATTTTTGTAAAAGTAGTTCTGCTTCTCTAAATTAGCCACCCTCTAAAATTCATTTTGGGCAGTTTTAGGTATAATTCTGGACAAACTGAGTGAAAGAGTGAAAATTTCACCCCCTTGGATAATCCTTTATCTAGGAGTTAAGCTTCCCTATTGCACAGAGAAGAAGATATCACTACAGTCAATCATGAAGGAGTGAGCTTTTAGATAAGGCCTTTCCTATAGTACATCCATAACACTTTATTTTCCTCTTGCTGTACTGGAACTGACCTCCCCACTTGGGCGAGTGTCGCGGAGGCAGAGATAGGGACTGTGCCGTGCTGCTTGGCTGACACACGTTTCAGAGCAAC